AACACCATAGCCTAGCAACGACTGCTCATATGCATGAAGAAATACAACGGCTGCGACAGTAACAGAGGGTCCCTCGAGCTCGGCCCTGGGCCAGAACACATCCCAAACTCCTGGTGAGCGCCGCTCGTCCAACGCACATGGTGGCACATCATGTTACCCGTAGTATACGCAGATACTTGGATGAAGCGGGCCGCCCGCAACCCACGGGATGGTGCGGTGGCCGACGAAGGAAAACCGACGCAAAGGAAAGAACATCCCAACGGCAAATGTGGCACACGTCCGCTTCCATGCCGGGAGGCACTGAGCGGAGTGCCCTCAGGCCCCTTGACTGGAAACGCTCTTCAGGGGGGCCCAGACCCCCGAGTCCCGAACGCTGCCGAGCGCTGAAGCAGGGTATGCCCGCGGAGACTCTTCCCGAGGCCTGGGGGACTCTGGTTGGAACCCAAACTTCCTACGATGATCTCAAGGCACGCCATGGAGCCCCCTTTTCCTCGCTGGCAGCATGCTTCGTCACGATCTGCAGCGAAACGATGCCCCTTGATAAATACATGCTCCCCGACTGACGGGCAGTGGAATCCACAGCGCTCGCTCGACCCCATCGTCCTGGGCGGCGACGTCGCACTTGTCGCGACTTAGAGAAATGTGAAGGTGTCAGCGCGGTGCGAAGGCAAATGTGCTTGGACAGGCTGCACAAAGCCCAATCACGTACATTCACACGCTATGCACCTCTGCAAATTCAACGCTCCAATTGATGGCGTCAACCTTCAGTCGTTACGACCGGAATTGTTCGCCTCGACGACATTCACCCCAAGCCATCTACACGGTGATGTGCTTCCTGCGACGTGATTGGAGCAAGCTGAAGCGCTTGCTGTGGCTCAAGAACCACATGGTACTCCTCCACGTCAGGAAGACGCGACGGGGGATCCTATGCGAGGCATAATTGCCCTCGAAGAAGACGGGCCCTGAGCTGCTGAACATCGCATCCCAGCCCACCGCGTGCAACCATGGTGCCTCCTGCAACGCAGACTCGTGACCCTTGATGGCCTGCTCGCACAGCTCCCTGATGCCAGGGAAATGGCTGCCGATGCCGACCTCGCCGTGCCCCTTTCCCTGGCCGGCCTGACCGCTCTGCCCCGCCCCCATGCTCTTGGCAAATAGGGCGGAGTACCACGATGCCGTTGAGTGCACCTTCTCCTTGTCGACGTCGACTACGAAGCCGGCCATGGCATCGTGCGTGCTGGATCCTCCGTCCCTGCAGTTGCCCCAGTACAGGCAGGACACGAGCTGGATGCTGTCGTCCGGCATGACCATGGTGACGATGTCGAATGAGTGCACCTCGTGTCCAGACTTTGGGCGCACCCATTCCAGAACAAGCACTCCTACGATTGATGCATATTTCTCGTTCAGCACCCTTGAGACTGCTGCCACAGTGCCATCAAAACCATCCCTACCAACTTCCAGGAAAGTGTCCCCTCTGCCCAGGCACCCGTCCATAAGCTTCAACACGACATCCCCAACGATGAAGTCACCGGACTTCCCTTTGGCGTGTGACCACCAATCGCAACTGCTCCCATCCCATTGGCCAAGCTGCTGGGGGAACGGCATGTTGGTCTTCTCCATATGCCTCCTCCAGAACTGCTTGGTCAGAACGTAGTCGTGCCAGGCATTTTCGATCGCGGCAGTGCTGTTGCCGTGGGTCATGAAAATGGCCAGAGGCACTGAGCCCACCATTTGAAAGGCCCAGAAGCACCGCGCGAAGAAATTCTCAGGCTCCACGAAAAAGCAGTTGACCACCGAAGGTGGCTTCAATGCTGTCTTCAGCTTGTCGTGGCACACGAGCAGGATCAACAGTCCTGGCCACATTATCAAGGAGACGAGCATGATCAAGTGACTCCATCCAATCCAGCCTCCCCAGTGAAACACCTGATGGTACTTCACAAGAAAGCTGTACAAGTCAAGCGGCTGCGAGGCTAGCAATCCGCCGACCCCCGCTTGCTGGGGGAGCAAAGGCGTGTGAGATGATTGGCCGTGCCCCTTCCCCATGTCCCCCTCCCCCAGGGTCCAACATCTCGTTGAAAGGAGGGAGGGGGTATCCGGGGCTCCCTGACGCACCCCCAGAGAATCTGGAACGTCCAGGAACTTCCAGCTCTGCCGTGTGTGGCCTCAAAAACGATCCACGACGATCCCAAATCGCTGAACGATTGGCCCAAGATGGCTCCAAGACGCCCCAACACGCCTTCGAGACACCCCAAGAGAGCCCCAAGAGCCTTGCCAAGAGGGCCCCAAGAGGCACAAATCACTGATGTCCTGAAGGCCTTTATTGTGTTGAGGGGTCATATCGTCTTCTCGAGCTTCCGACGCTCCAAGACGACCCAAGAGGCCCCGTGGACCACCCGAAACCTGCCCAGGAGGCTCTCACGAGGGACCCCGGACGGCCCAAGAGGGACCCAAGATGGCCCAGAGAGGGGCCCAACACGTCCACAGATCGCTCCAAGAGAGGCCTCAAGAGAGGCCAAGAGCAAAGAGGGAGAAGTCGAAACGAGAAACCGATCTTCCGCCCGAAAAGGTCCCCGCAAAGGCCCCCAGAAGGCCCCACGAAGTCCCCAGAACGGCCCTCAAGACGCTTCAAAACTGCCTCCAAGAGGCTCCACCAGGCCCCTGAACAGATTCCAAGACGCCCACAAGAGTCCATCCCCAAACAGTGCCCAAAACGCCCACGACGCCTCGACGTTGACTCCCCGCCGCGTCTGGGGGTCGGCGGAATGCCGTTGGTCTCTTGAACAAATAGAATGCCAGAACTACACGAAGCGCGCGGCCGAAGCAATCGGCAGTGGACAGCCAACCGCCTGCAGGAGGTTGCATGAACGTTGACATCTCGTAGAGGTCGCCCGAAAACTCAGAGCCCTTGAAACGCTTAAACGCCATGCTTGTTGCTGGAACTCTGTCGCGTGCCTTGACCTTCCCTGAAAAAGGTTCAGCCCAAGTGGCTTGAGCCAAAATGGCTACGGACCCGTCATGAACACCTCCTACAAGGCCTTCTTGGCCACATTTGGAGGCCCTCGGAACTGGCCCAGGGGGCGCTAATCGTTGAAACACATGTCTTTGTTGTTTTTCGTTTCGCGCACTCGACTCTTCTGTCTGAAGAGCGTCTGGTACGGCCCAATATGCCGCCAATACGGCTCCAGGGCGGCTCCCGAAGCTCTCAACAGGGCCGATTAAAAGGCCCACAAGACAGCCTCAAAAGGAGCTCATCAGGGGAAACCCGAGCTTATTTTTGTAGTGTTTCCCCCAAAAGACCCCCAAGAGGCTCCCAGCCCCCAGGAGGCCGAAGGCCACAAGAACTGCATGACGCATTCATCGATGTGTGCGGATGTCGGGGGCTTCCGAGAGGGTGGTTCGCAAAACATGGCCCGAGGCATGTGCGCGGCCCATGGGTGGCCAGGGGACGTAAGTAGAACAAGAAGAGGCGTCATGAAATCTGGCGAGGTACCATGGCCTCGCCACGAGATCCACCACCACCTCGTCGTTAGCCCCTCTTGGCCGCCCGCGAGGATTGCGGGCAAGAGAAAGCTGGTGGAACAAGATTTCTGCGCACCACTCTTGGAATATGGGATTCTGCGTTCAACAGAGCCTGGTGACGACTGATGGCAACGCTTTGAAATGGGGTCTGGAGTCGTTGAAGCACAAGCGGCCAGGGCTGGACAAGAACTGGCCAGACGTGGCCAAAAACGCTGGAACGCGCACCCTGGGGTGCAAGAAGCGGGAGAAACTGTGGCAAGGGCTGGGGAGAGCAGAAGGGCTTGGCCGGGCCTCTCTTCAGAACACCCCTGCATGGAGTGCCAACCTCTGGGCAGACCTTTTGTGCAATTTCGGCGGTTGAAGTGTCTAGCACGTTCCAATTCTGGACCCCGAGATTGTACCAGAACGACCGCGCGCCATCTGTTTCAGAAGACCCGGGGACCCGCCGGGCTGGGCAAGGAAGGCGCGCACACCCACCCTGGGCCCTGGGCTCAAGATTGGCCTGGACGGGGCCAGCATTGCGTAGTGTGCAATCGGAGCCGCCCTCCCGTTCCCCCCAATGTTTGGGTCGGGCCAAGACGGTGATTCGCGGCAAGCGTGCGAGGACCTTAGAAGGCCATGCTGACGTTTTTCGAACGCGGTTGGCCAGCGAAAGTTGCCAGGGATGGGTCGAAGGGTGGCAAGGATGCGAGGACAACCTCGGATAGCTGCTCATCCTTACTGTGCGCGTTGACGGTATAGAAAACGTCAGCAAAAATCGAACCTCGAACTTCGAACCTTAAAGAAGGAGGCAGTTAAGTCAGGCCTGTTCCCCATACAGGCCGATGCTTTAGCCGGCAAAAATAGAAATAGCCAAAACATGCCCTAAAATACTCGCAAAGGTTGCCGAAACATCGTCTCAAGACTCTGTTTTGACTATCTTTGAATATCCCTCTTGTAGAGGGACAGGCCCGACTCTTAACCCTCTGGGAGGCCAGAACCGTTGCCACCGCGACTCCGTCCGTTGCTTTGTGGGCCCCGGAAACGGCAGGGCCGCTTCTTCACCGTTTCCAAACTAATGTCCCTTGAAAATGGAAACGGTAAAATAACGGCGACCGGAAACGGCAACAAAAACGGCTCCAAGATTGGAACCGGAGCCGGAACCGGTCAAAATACGAAAACGGCGACGGAACTGGTCAAAAAACGGCGTCGGAACCAGCACAACGGAACCGGTGACAAAAACGGCCCTGTCGCTTCCAGGGCCCACTAATCGGCTGCACGTAAGAGTGACCCTGGGTAAGCGTGACCTTTGGTGCGCGGCTTTTCGGGGGGCGCGAGGAGGCCAAACACAAGCGCGCAAGACGCTGATATCGCAACGAGCGCGGCGATCGGGGGACCCCCTTTGGCCCGCACCAAAGGTCACTCCGGCGAAAGGTCACTCTTCCGTCTAGTCGAACTAAGGTCCGTTGCGCCCCCGGCCGCCCCCCAGCGCGCGGGACCGCCTGCTTCGCCCCGCGCCGCGGCCGCGCCCGCGAGTGCGCCGCCGCCCTCGCCTGCCGGCGGAGGCAGGGGGAGCTCGGACGCGGGGCCTCGGCAACTCGGGGGCGCCACGGGGGGTGGCCCTCGCCAGGCCGACGGCGTCCAACGGGCCGGGGATGCCCCGAGACAGCCAAGAAGGGTTTCCGAGAAGCCTCCAAGAGGCGCAAAGGCCCCCTCAAGAGAGGCCTCCTCTTAGGACGGCCCCAAGGAGGGCCCGAAGACAGCCGCACGGGCCTCCAAAGGCACCCGAGCTATCGGGAGATCTCGGAGAGCCCCACATCGGCGGCACTGGCCGGAGGCCTTTCCAATCACGAACATAGCCCTCGCGTTGTGAAAACATCACGGCGGAAGGGTTCCTATTTTTTTCGGCATCCGAGGGCCCTTACCGAGCCTCGGGACCGTCAAAAGAACGACTCAGGATGAAAACCTGGTCCTGGGGCAGGGCTCGAATATTCTTCGGGTCGCCTTTGTGCCAACATCACGTCGTCGGGGGTCTGGGATAATCTCACGACTGGATTGGCTCAGGAGACGTTGTAGGATTTCCAGAATATCTAGCGGCGCAGCTGGTGCGGAACATCAGGGCATATGGGAAGTCCTGCAAACCTTGAGAATCCTGAAACGCAGCATTACCATGACCTCTTGCTCCTTTGAATCGGAAGGCGTGGCTGTGCATTGGGGTGCCACTGCCACTGCTGGGAGGTCTCCGGGAGAACGGCTGAGGGCGACGAGGCCCGAGTGAGGGGGCACTGAGCTGGACTTCACAGGGGATATTGTAGGAGCTCGACCACAAGACACCTTACAAAAGAAACCCAACCTTAAGACCCCAGGACGCCCATTGATTTTTGGTGTGGGAATGTCGCGCCCTCCATAGCACAACCATCGGAATCCAAGAAACCCACGGCACCCTGGAGGCAAGCATGGACTTTCTTGGCATGGGTTTCCACTGCATGTCGACCCTCATCCCAGACTCCGTGGCGACTTCGAGTGGGCAAGAAATTTTGGACCCAGCCCTGGGATATACGAGGGGGAGGGTCCAGCCTCGATAGGGGTGCGTCCGAGTAGCCCCTCTCGGGGTGCATCCCAAGGTTTCCCCTCCTTTTCTGAGCGGCCAAACTTTTCAATCGGAATTCGGGGATTGGGGGAGAAAAATCGCCTCGCCTGTGAGGACTAGCCCAGATTGGGCCCAGGCCTAAGCCCAAGAGTAGGCCAGATCGAGCAGGATTGTATGCCGGATCAGGCCTGTCTTCGACCAAGGATGTGTCAGCGCTGATGCATATTGTAATCTCCAAGGAGTTGCGTCCGATTCCACGCCTGCACCGATCCTGATCGGGCCCATCCTGAGCCCAGCATGGATGCACGGCATGCTCGTGTCGTGGCGGCCCCTTCGCTGGCTTTTTGCACCGCGCGGATCTTTCAACCATAAGCGATCGGCGGCTGTTCGATCCCTAGATCGTTCCATATTTCGATGGCGCGCGAGGGGGGGACACGAGAAGGAGAAGGCCTGCTCAGAAGGCGGCGGGACTTCTCAGAGGCCCTCGCGCCTTCTGAGAAGAGTTTGTCTGTCTTCGGGGAAGGCTCCGAGAACACTTCTCAGCGAACCTTCGGAGACGGCCTTCCCCTTCTCGCGATTCCCCCCTCGTCTCTCGCCGACGAATCTTGGCCGACTTCGAGAACACTTCTCAGGGAACCTTCTCAGAGACGGCCTTCCCCTTCCCACGGATCCCCCCCTCGCCTCTCGCCGACGACTCTTGGCCGATCCTGGGCCGCTGGCGGCGTTCCACTTGGACCGCCCGGCCGGCGGGGTCGCCGAAACGCGGTGACACGCGAGCCGCGAGCCTGGCGTAGTTATACGCCCTCCTCCTCCTCCTCCTCCTCCTCCTCCTCCTGCTCCTGCTCCTCCTCCTCCTCCTCCTCCTCCTCCTCCTCCCCTCCTCCTCCTCCTGCTGCTCCTGCTCCTGCTCCTCCTCCTCCTCCCCCTCCCCCTCCCCCTCCCCTCCCCCTCCCCCTCCCCCTCCCCTCCTCCTCCCTCCTCCTCCTCCTCCTCCTCCTCCTCCTCCTCCTCCTCCTCCTCCTCCTCCTCCTCCTCCTCCTCCCTCCTCCTCCTCCTCCTCCTCCTCCTCCTCCTCCTCCTCCTCCTCCTCCTCCTCCTCCTCCTCCTCCTCCTCCTCCTCCTCCTCCTCTCCTCCTCCTCCTCCTCCTCCTCCTCCTCCTCCTCCTCCTCTCCTCCTCCTCCTCCTCCTCCTCCTCCTCCTCCTCCTCCTCCTCCTCCTCCTCCTCCTCCTCCTCCTCCTCCTCCTGGCGCGTGGCCAGGAGGGCACTGCGCCTGGGCACAGGGCCTGGCCTGGATCGGTGCGGGTGCATCACCCTATGCAGCCCTGGGATTCACAGGGTGGGGATACGAAAATTCGAGGTCCAGGGAGGACGCCCCAGGATCACAGGGTGGGGATGCGAAAATTCGAGGAAAGGGATTCACAGGGTGGGGATTCACAGGGTGGGAAATACGAAAATTCGAGGAAAGGGATTCACAGGATACTGAATTCGGAATACATGGATTCACATGCTGGGGATACGAAAATTCGAGGATACAAAAACGCAAGAGGCTTCCAGGATCGCCCCAACATGGCATAAGGGGCCTCCAAGAGCGCCCAAGACGGCCCCAGACGGCCCCAAGACAGCCCCAGAGGTCTCCAAGATGGCCGAAGAGGCTCCCAAGACGGCTCCAAGAGCGGGCCCAGACGGGGGACCCGAACGGACATTTCGAGCTCTAGGGGCAGAGAGGTCCCCTGGAGGCCACAAGAGGCCCCCAAGAAGCCCCCAAGAAGCCCAGGCCCCAAGACGGCCCACAGAAGGCCTCAAAACTACCTCCCGAAGGCCCCCAGGAGGCCCCAACACGGCCCACAAACGGCGCGGCAATATGGACGGGCAGATCGAGAGAAGCGATTACATAAAGTTCGGGGTCCATGGATGATGAGGATGAGGATGAGGATGTTGATGAGGATGAAAATGAAGAGGATGATGATGAGGTCGCAGCACAAAGGTCGTTGAGGAGGAGGAGGATGACGATGTTGATGATGAAGATGAGGATGAGGATGAGGATGAGGATGAACATGAACATGAGGATGAGGATGATGAGTCTGAAAATGAGGATGAGTAAGAGGATGGTGATGATACTGATGATGATGCTGATGATGATGATGAGGATGATGATGATGGTGGTGAAGATGCTGATGCTGATGCTGATGCTGATGCTGATGCTGATGATGAACATGCTTAGGAGGAGGAGGAGGAGGAGGAGGATGACGAGGAGGAGGACGAGGATGACGAGGAGGAGGAAGGAGAGGGGAAGGAGTGGGAGCAGATGGAGGGAAGAGGCTTCCCTGGACGCACCGGAGGAGGCTTCCCTTGACGCTGAGGACGGTAGCTGGTCCGTGTGCAGGACACCCCCATCTGTGTAAACCACCCCTAACACAGAGAGTGAAGCTGCGGTCGGGGTGCACATGTGAGTCGTGGACTTCATCATGGGACACCATGCCGTCCCCGCATGTATAGTGGAAGCCCGATGCAGAAGGATGGTCGGGCGCCGTATCCACAGGGAGGGGTGTCTTCACGTGCCGTGAGGGCCCAGCGCCAGTCCAAGACATCCGCGCGGCACTCACAGAACAATGTTGTCTATGCAATTGTTTCGCTTCGATCCTAACCCAACTCGCGCACGAGGCCCAGAAAGCCCACGGGGTATGTTCGCAGGTGAGCGGCAAGCTGGGGACGCCTTGTGCCCGTGACGCCTTCAACAGACCCCGAACTGCTTGGAACACGTGGATACTGCCCACACCCCAGACGCATCATGTTCACAGGCATGTCTCCAGCCGCAATCTTTTCGCCCAGCGGCCTTGGCGACAATGCTGCTTGCAGCCGAATTTGATTATGCCAGTTGCAAGACATATCGATCGATTCTTTGCAGCGCTCGCAACTCAACGCACGCATGCTCGGCAAGGACGGCTAGAGCCACAGGTGCGTAGGCGGAAAGAGCCAACCAAAACTGAAGGGACGATCAAACGACAGGAGGATGGTTTACAAAGAGGGTGAAGATCCGAAGCTAATTACGAATCCCCGCAAACATGCCACCACATCACAACTTGCACTTCGCAGCCCTCGCTGGGCGGTAGTGGTACACGTCTGTCCCGACCCCATCATCCCGAGAAAATGGCAGCGAAGTGTCATGACCCAGTGCGACGAGCGACGTGACCCGTGCTGGTGCTGGTGCTTCTGACCGGAGGAGGCCGTCCAGGGTGATGAAGAGCTGGAGACTGGCGACTGCGCCTGCGAAGGATAGATTAACACTTGGAGTGCGACCGGGACTGACCAACACATTCTCTCAGCGTCTGCAAGCGTCCGAAGGCTTCTGGCGACCTGTGGGGAATCGGTCCCCAGGACAGCGGCCAATCTGCAAGTGCGCCGATATCTGCCTGCAGAAACAAGCTAAAACAGTCATCACCCAAACAAGCCGCACCTTCCTTCTGCTTGCTCCTTTCATACGGCTCCTGCGCCGAGCACGCTAACCAGTTGGACGACTGCCCTTGGCTGCGCTTCCCATTCGCCTCCCGATTCTTCCACCAAGGAGCGCGGAAACACACATATACACATATGTAGAAAGGGAGAGAGAGAGAGAGAGAGGGAAAGAAAGAAAGAAAGACAACACAGAGAATAAGTGTGAGAGAGAGGGTTTTAAAAAAGGGACAGAGAGAGAGGGAGAACACTCAACAACATCATCAGACAATAAGCCACGAACCACGCATACCCATCAAAAAACACAGCAAGTAGCCGCATGCGGCCGCGGCCACCAGGAGGCACCACGAGAGCGGCGCGACCTCCGAAAAGCGGCGCGTCCTGGTGCAGCTTCGCCAGCGCCGCGCGCACGCGGTCCACCGCGAAGTCCTCCGAGAAGTTCACGCCGCGCCGCCGGCCGGCGGTCAGGCGCTCCACCTCCTGGCCCCCCCCAGGAGGGGAGGGGGACCGGGCGCAGACTGGAGGCTGTGTCTTTTCCCTTCGGCGGCGCGCGTGAGGGGGTATGGGTGACGGGGGAGAAGGCTTCCTAGAGGGAGGCCGCTGCTCAGAAGGCGCCGGCCCTAGATCTATGGATCAGGCCCGCGCCTTCTGAGAAGCAGGGGTGCTTCTATGGACGAACGCGTTCCACTACTCGCAAAGTAGCTACTCGCAAGTGGCCTGGATCCGCCGCGGGGGATCGACGATGAATTACATCGAAGCAGACATGTGGCTTTCGGGCGTTTGCGAGTAGGCACTTTGCGAGTAATGGAACGCGCTCGGTGATTCTAAGAAGCCCTTGCCCCCCCCGCCCACCCCCCGCGGCGCGTGGCCGGTTGCCGTGGGCTCGAGCAGAGTGCCGCGCAGGGCATCTCTCCCGCCCCGCCCCTCCGCCTCTCCGCCGCCTGCTTGTCCGACAGAGCGCTGGGCCGCAGGAGCCGTGCGAGTGAGTCCCGGCGCGCGTGGGGTCCAGGGGTTCCTTTCGGGCCGGGCGTAAGGGGGGGGTGGATAGCAAATGGGGCGGTTGAGAATCAGCTCACGCAGCTGATTTTCCCTCCCAGCGCCGGGAGGCGCCCATGTATCGAGGAATGGGCCCGGCGGCGGGGCCGAAACCAGCTGCATGCAGCAGATTTCGTCACCCCCCCTTTCCCAATCCCCCCCTTTCGCTCGGCCCGATCCTTGCGGGCCTCACCCGCCCTCGCCTTTGTGGGCAAGCGCGTTCCACTACTCTCGGGGAACAAGAAGTGGCTCAACCATAAAAACTCGGAGGTCCGCGCGGATGTCTCGGGTCGGCGCTGGACGCCCCGCCCTGGAGCGCGGAGCGCGCAGGAGGCGACACTGGGGGGGCCCCGGCGCCGATCCTAGGAATCCGCGCGGAACTCCGAGTTGTTCTATGTTTATGTCACGTGTTGTTCCCCGATGCTCGCAAAGTAACTACTCGCAAACGGCCGGGATCCTCCGCGGGGGATTCACGATCTATTACATCGAGGAAGACTTCTGTTTGTCTCGGACGCTTGCGAGTAGGCAATTTGCGAAGAGTGGCACGCGCCCGGTGACCACCTCCCTTTCCCCGCGTCCTCCACCAGCGCCGGGCCGAAAGGCGTGCAAGCGGGTCCCGACTAGCGCGGTGTCATGGTTCCCTTACGGGCCTCAGCACGCCCCCCCTGCACGCCCCCCCCCCCTCCATGCACGTGAACGTGCCTGAATCTACGGAAGAAGAGCTGCCTCCTGCTTGCGGCCTCCAAGCGAGCAAAGTTGCGGGAACTGAGCAAGAAGCAACTTGACGAGCGAAGGAGAGGCGTAACAGAAGCTTCTCCGCCGCCGTGGGCGACTGCCTTGGGGCGCTGGAGTGCTTCTACCCCACGGTGGCAGGTCGGTGTAACACATGTCCAAATGGCCCGGGACAGGCTTCTCCGACGGCGAATAAGTTTGCTCTATACTATAATTTGCCAGATGCAGTAGGAGCTCGGCCACAAGAAACCTTCCACAAATAATCCGACCCTGAAATGACCAGATCCCACATCAAAATTGCAATTGCAGCATAACCATTCGAAGTCCAAGAAACTAACAATATCCAAAAAAGAACAACACGTGTCTTACCATGGGCTCCCACTGCAACTCCTCATACCCGGCTGGGGGAGCCTACCGTGCCAAAACGGTTTCTTAGGAAGGAGCCCAAGATGCCCCACACGGGGATACAAGGACGAGGGCTCCCCAGACAGCGGCCCACATGGGCAAGGGGGGCGCGAGGAGGTCACGCGGAGCCCGGACCCCAACCCGACATCCTGGACGGATTCGGCCTTCGGGCCCGAGTCGGCCTGGCCTCTGGCACCAGCGGTCTCGCGACCGTCCGCTGGATTTCTGGAGCATGCCTACGCTGGTCCTGCGGAGGGCGAAAGAGAAACCTGGCCACCAAGTGTGCAGACGAGTATGGAGAGGAAGGAGGAGAAAAGGAGGAGGAAGAGCAGGGAGAGTAAGGAGAGAAAGAGCAGGGCGAGGAAACAGAGGACCCCCCACCCGCTCGCCGGCCGCCAGAACGGATGGCCCCAGGACCCCACTCCTCCGTGTGACAATCCCATGAGGTATCGGACCGCCGAGATTTTGAAGGGGCCCTGGGACACACAAATAAATAGACACAAAGTCCAGCATCCACCGAATTTTCCCATATGTTCTTGGTTTTTTCGTCTTCGCTCCAACTGTTCATATGTTCCCATATGTTCCTGGGGATCGACGATGACTTGTGTCTCTGTGTCTTCCCTCCAGACATATGACAATACCGTGAGGTATCAGACCCCCGAGACTTGTATGGCAAAGCCGTGCGCTGAAGATGCTCAAACTCGTGTCGAGCCGCTGCCTTCGACGTGTAAAGTCCCTGGGGATTTCAATCTGCGGGCTTCTGGGGGGATAATTATGATTGGCTCGTCCCGGCAACTCGTATGTACGGAGATAGGGCTGGGACGCTCTCCTCGGGTGCCTCGGAGCTCAAACGATCGTGACCTGTGAAAGCTGAAACGGTGAGACTCACATTGCCCTGCCATACATTCATGATTACTGCTGCGACTCAAACAGAAGATAATGCGCAAGATCGATTATCGCTTTCCCCGGCGACATGAAGTGCCGCTCTCTCCCTACCATCTCTGTCTTGGCCCCCAATCTGCAATTCTCAGGTGTTCTGTTCAGGGGAGATCTGCTTTAGTATCCCGGGCCCTCGGCTATCATTGCACATCGATGCAAACTGCATTGGCGCTTCGCGGCATGCACTTGCTCGCCGAAATTTTGAAACAACCTGAGCAAAGCCTGCTAACGCGCATGATAACAGTTTCACGATGTTGTAATGCAAGTAACCGGCGGTCGTGGCCGCAAAATGTCGCAACGAAAGGCCGAGTGGAGGCGTTGTTGTTTCACACCTCAATCGGCGTGATACATCGTGGACCACGGGGACGCGCATCATGAACCGAGGCATGTGCGCGGACGACGTTGGGGGGCAGGACACGTAGTGAAAAAGGAAGAGGGCGCCATGCTATCTGGGGGACATCAAAGCCGCGGCCAAGATGTCCAAGCACCCCTGGCCCTCACCCCCCAGGGGGCAACGTTTGGCGGGGGCAACGTATCGGTGGTACATCTGCGATAGATCAGCGATGGGGCCCCCGATGGCGATTCCGCACGGTCTTGGGATCGTTGGGACCCTCGGGCACCTATCCATCGCTGCCCCTGACCCCCCGAGGACAGAGGATACGTCGGGAATGTCTGAGTCTCTGAGATCCAACGGCTCTGGAGGACGTCTCGGAGGCCGCGGCCTTCCCAGAGCGTTCCCACAGCGGCCATCGCTCAGACGTCCATTCTCCGTGCGTTGCTCGGTTCCGTGCGTTTTTTCGCAGGGTGGTCCAGGATGCTCCTAGATGGTCCAGAATGTCTGGCGCTGGCGTCGCCGAGTCAAATGCGCACGCCCGAGCGATGCCACGGGGCTGGGCGGCGCTCAACGGGGGGGCGACAACGGTGCACTTCTCGGGCCTTCAGGGTGGGCGATTGGGGGTCGATGCATCTCCCCCATTTGAGCAGGGACCGACCGTCCCGGCATTCCTATAGTCCTACCACGAAAAAGTCTTAGAACCCAAAAATGTTCTAAGAGCAATAACACGGTTCTTAGAACATAAATCCGATGCGTTAAAACAAGACAGTCCCAGCCCGAACTATTCTAAGAACCTTTCGTGGGAACCACAAAAAAGATTCTCTCAGAACACTGTTTGCTGGGGCTTTAGGCGAACCAGGACGCTTCGCCACTGCTTGACCCATGCCCATCCCCCCCCCTCTCGTTGCCCCCGCGGTCGGTGCAGCCATGCCGAGCCCGGCCGCCCGGCCGGCCGGCCGGGCCGCGGCATGCCGCCCCCGCGCCGCCTGGTTGAGAGACTCCCACGTCGCCTCGCAGCCGCCGGCCGCCGCGCCCGCCATCTTCAGGTCCTGGGCGCCGCCGGGGGGGGGGGGTCTGATCCTCCTCCTCCTGCTCCTCCTCCCCTCCTCCTCCTCCTCCCCCTTCTCCCCCTCCTCCTCCTCGTCCTCCCCCTCCTCCTCCCCCTCCTCCTCCTCCCCCTCCTCCTCCTCCTCCTCTGCCACGCTCGGCTCCCCACGGCGTGCGCAGGACCTGCCCCTCGTGAGCAGCCTCGGACCGATCCCCCATGCCTCCCAAAGATCGCCAAGCAGGCAACGACAATCTCAGGGATGCGCCCTCAGAGACCAGGGGGAGTCCGTGAGACGATCGGCGCCGAGGTAGTGTGATCCCAGACATAGGGATGAAAAGAGAAGGATGCCCCGAGTGGGGGACAAGGACAAGGAAGAAGAACATCCCGAGGGCTCCGGGGTATCTAGTGGCCCTCGTTCCCGGGGCCCGTGTGGGACATCAGGATAGTTGGGAACACCAGGAATCGAAGATATCCTAGAAGATCATCATCATGACCTCTTGCTCCCCTGAAGCATGCCTCTGCCGCCGCTGTGCCTCGATGTCGTGGTCATCCTCATCGCCGTCGTCGCCTCGTCGCCCTCTAGCCCCTCCTGCCCCTTCCCGCCCCTCTCTCATTTGTCCTCTTGCGCTTCCTCACAGGCTCCGTCCGCTTCGGCCCCCGTGCTGGCGTGATCCTCCTCCTGCCGAACTCCTTCTCCTCATCCCGCTCCTTTCTGGTCCTGGCCACTCTCCACTACCAGGTGAAACTAACTTCCCCCATGCAGGACAAACCAACTTGCTCGCGGCTGAATGACGAGCACGCTGGAATGAACTGAACTGTCGGGTGGGAGCAGTCCGCAGGGGCGACCTTAGTCGGAGAGGAGGCCAACGTGCAGTGGCATCCATACTTATGAGCCAGGTCCGTCAGCCGGCAGAGGACAGGATAGCAGTTATGGAGGATCGTTCTTTTGACGGCGAAATGGCTGCAAATGCCATGGAACGGTGGAAAACTCCGATCAATAACACCGAACTCTTCCGCACTGCTCGCCCGGAGGGCGCAAAACGCGACGCCACGCCAGGCCATGGAAACAACAGCCCACAAATGGTTCACACGAGAAGGGGCCAAGATCGTCCCCATGGACTCAAAATCACAAACTCATGGTCTCCTGGTCTCACAGTGGCTATGGTAGGGGCTGGCCACCCCGCCTGGTGCCACAGTAGTGACACGCGTAATTTACAGGGCCCAGGAGGGGATACTCGCCTTGCCATTCGGAAGCCCCTACTCCAAGAGGACCCCCCGAGGAGCCCCTCGTGAAAACCCCAAAGCCGCCTTCAATAGGCCCCTGTGAGGACCCGAAGTCGCATTCAACAGGCCCGCCAAGAGGCCCCGGAAAAGCATCCACGAAGCCTCTTGCCAGCGACCTTGGCGCTGTCACGGGATGGGCCGAAGGCCAACTGCACGGCACAGAGGCCGATCGTGGTCGCTGCGCTGCTGGAAGCGATGGGAGAAGGAACCACTGCCTTTGGTCTTCTGCGCCTCCATGGCCACCGAACACAATCCAGGTGCAGCTACCCATCTCCTCAGCCCGAGACATCGGCTGTTCGTACGCCTGCCGCTAAGGCAAGATGATTCTCCTTCTCCTTCTACTCCTACTGCTCCTCCTCCTCCTCCTCCTCCTCCTCCTCTTCCGAATCCTGCTCCGCTTCCCGAGTCATCGATACCTCATGCAATCCTCCTCTTCCTCCTCCTCTTCCTCCTCCTCCTCCTCCTCCTCCTCATCCTTCTCCTTCTCCTCCTCTTCTTCCTCCTCCTCCTCCTCTGGGGGGGTGACAAGACTGTACCCATACCGGTATTCCCCAGACCTCTCTGAGGGAGCGCCCTGATGAGAATCCCAAAAGCGAAACCAAGCCTGGCGACGAGGTGAGGGGTATACTTTCCGCTTCTGATCCCCCCTCCTCCCGCTCCCCCTCCTCCCCAACCCCCCGACGCCACGATTCGTTCATAACGTCGACCCTCAGAGGCCTCGACCCGTTCCCCTGGACCCGTTTTGCATCCCAGGTCGCTGTTTGACGCTCCCGAGGCCCAGCAAGGGCCCCGGGGGACCCGAAAACAGGCCGAGAAATCCCGTCCTGGTTCTTGTCCTCACCCGAGGTGGTCTGGGCCCTCGGCCTCCCCACCCCCCTCCCCTCGCGGGCCGCGCCCGCCCGCGCCGCCCTCGCCGGGCCTCGGGACCGTCCACGATACGACCCGGGATGACCGGTCCCAGGGGATGGGTCGGGACTTCCGGGGGCATCGTATGGACAAAGAACAAGACATCCATCGCATGCCTGGGCAAGGTGCTGAACTGCACCCGAAGACTAAAGGCCTCCCAGATGGGGTCCGAGCAGGTGGAGTCGGAGGATCGCGCCGCATCGCCAATGCATCGGCGATGCATCGGCGACATCGCCGATGCATCGGAAGCAACTTCCGGGAAGGGCCAACGCCAACTCAAATGTCGATGCAATCGTCCTTCAGGATTCTATGTTTGTTTCTAACACCTGGTGAGGGAGGGGCCCTCGAGATCGGTTCCTCAAATCTGACCCCCCTCGTTGCCCCCCATCGCGGGCCCCCGATATCGGTGGCCCATCGTTCCCCACCATCGTTGACCCCTGTCGTGCACCCCCCCCCCATCGGTAGGCGTTCCAGCCATCTGTTCTAGAGGCTGGTAGCGGAGCCCAGCCCCCCGAGATCGGCGGCTCAGCGTTGCCCCCTTACCCCCATCTGCCCCTTCTCCCTATCCCTCAACGTAATCCCTATTCCGTTCCCTGTTTCCGGAAGTCCCTATCCCTGTACCCTCATACCAGTACCCGCGATGCTTTATACATATCTATATGTGCAAAGGGTATATACAGTATACATTATCCCAATATCTATCCCTATCCTTCTCCAGTTTCTACACATCGTTGACCTTAGCCTTGTATCCCGAAGTAACGTCTTATCCCTTGTCTCTATCCCTCAACCCTGGCCCCCGTCGTGCAGCATCCTGTCGTGTGAGCCCCCTCGTGACTGTGCAGAGCTGCTGAGTGTATTCTGCCGCAGAGGTGCCACTTTTTGAAGCCAGTGTCCGCTTGTCGTGACCAGACGGCCCCGAGGGGGCACTGCCACGACTGTGTGTGTGCGTGTGCGTGTGCGTGTGCGTGTGCGTGTGCGTGTGCGTGTGTGCGCGTGTGTGCGCGTGTGTGCGTTTGCGTGTGCGTGTGTGCGTGTGTGCGTGTGTGCGTGTGTGCGTGTGTGCGTGTGTGCGTGTGTGCGTGTGTGCGTGTGTTTGTGTGTGTCTTTGTGCGAAAGGACTCGGCACAGCCACGCCGCGCCCGAGGACCGACTGAGGCCCGCGGAGGCCCCTGCAGAGCAGTGGCTCCGCCGCAGGGCCTCGGGGTCTGGCGGGAACCGTCGGGGAAGCGCTGTCCTCCTCCTCCTGCTCGGTCGAGAGAAGCAGCATGGACAGAAATATTCGAAAGAAAATTCTTGGATCGGCGCCGGGCCTATCACTGAAGGTGGCCCAGGTGGTCCCGGTTCAGAATGAAAACACGATGACCCCAAAGGGTCTTTGATGAACCCCTGGGCAATAATGAGAAATTGAATAATTTGTCCGCCGGCTTATTGACGGATTGGGACCCCGGCAACAGTTGGAAATTAATTATTCTCGTCGGCGGATGCATGAGAGATCATGAGAATGGCTCACAAATCCCATCGCTCAACACTTGGCGGCCTCCTCCTCCTCCTTTCCGACACACCACCGCCACCGCCGAGAAAGGAAGGAGGAGGGAGGGGAAGGAGGAGGAGGAGGGACGAGTTTCTATTCCCCGCCGAAAGCTTAGGGGGGGGGGTATCATTAAGACCCTCTGCGGTTAGACGCCACGGAACAGCGAGAAAGGTCATTGATCTGAGAATTGCTCTGAACCCGCATGAGTTCCCCAAACACTTCCCCATGAACCCTTCAGGTCCTTTGCAAGAACCCATTTCCTCCTTTGGAACCCCGACCGAATCGCCAGCGAATGATGAAGAACCGCTGACTCAATCTCCGGATCATGCAAAACACAAGCGCGCGCCAATCTCTGGCCCCCCCAGCCAATATCGAAACCTGTGAGGCCAATCCTCGGAACCTTCGTCCCGTCGCTGGCGCCGCCCCCGCCAGGCGACCCTGCAGCCGCACGCAGGAACAAGTCACAAAATATCACGCAACGCGGCAGCAAGGAGTTTTTCTCGTGCTCCAAGCAGAGCCCTCGAATTAATCAGCCGTCGTCCGCCTCTGCGGAGTGGCGCCCTGCTGATGCCCGAGCCCAGCTCAGTCAGGCTGAAAATGCGAATGGTACAGCACAAATTGCACAGTAAGGATCACTGTGCAATTTCGCAGCCAGTAACAATGATGGCTACCCTCATGCGATTCTGCGTTGGTGGCCACTGGGTGCTTTTGGAATGGCAACAATCCAGCGCTCAATCACGTTCTTCAGGAACTCCGCTGGCTAATGGATGCCCAATCCTTCGATGACGCATTGCCAAGTCTCGAAAGGAGACTTCGTCATATCAGCAGACCACAGACGCCGAGCTCCAACTCAGCAGTCTCCCAAAGGCAGCTGAGAAGCTCACCTCGAGCGCGCCGCCCTCAACTGCAAGCCCTGCGCGAGCAGGCCGCCATCCTGCCTGCCTGCCCTGTGCTCGTTGTACTCATCTGGCGGCCATGCACTGCGATCGAAGGTCATGGCAAAACCGTCGAGCCGCGCGCTGCGTCGACCTGGCAGACTTCCTTGCCCGACTCGCTCCAGCTCCCGGGCTGCGTCTTCCGCTCCGGCTCGCCGCTCCCCGGAGAGCCCGCTCGACGCCGCACTTCCCCGCAGCCTCCGCCACGCCCAACTCGGCGCTGGACAAACCTCCCCTTAGTAAACCTCCCCTTAGCGAAAACGGCCTGGGACCGAAACCGACGGACCTGGACCCGCAAAAATGCCAGCCGCGACGCCCTCTCGCGAACCGAGAACGGCCAATTCCTTAATCGACGTGTCAGGGTAGGAGGTCTGTCCACCCCCGACAAACTCGGCTCGCGGCGGGCGGGCCACGGCGCGCCAGCCGCCGCGCCGCCGACGCCGTCGCCGCGCGCCGGCCGCGCACAGGTCGGAGCCCGCCCCTGCCCGCAGCTGCGGCTCTCTGCGAGCCCGACGCCCTGGGCAGAAGCTCGGCACGCTGCGGGAGAACGCATGCACGCCTCCGGAGGTCCGCCGCAGGAGAGCCCGGAGTCGACTCGAGACGTCGAAGCGGTGATCAAAACGAATCGGATCGGCGGGGGTCGGCAGCCGAGTCGGCAAAACTCGAATCGGTAGACATCAGAAGGCTAGGACATTAGGCCTCCCATTGAGAAGTCGGATCACGCCTCGGAATCCGATGTCGACTCGAATCGGGATCGGAATCCATTGAAATCGAGTCGAATCGAATCGGAGGAATCGAAACGAGCCCTGGGCCCGCGCGGATTTCTGGGCTCGGCTCCCCGGGCGCGAGGAACGCGCCGCCAGGGCCGGCGACGGGGGCGCCGTCAGGGGAATAGGGGGGGCAAGCATCGATGCAGCAAATCCGAGCGAACCTGGCAAAACTTCGTGTACAGGGCAGTTTTTAACACATAGGAAATTTAAATATATAGGATGTTTAATACATGATCTTTATGAGTACATGTATGCATGAACTCATCGTTGTTTCCAATACTACATCCCCGCATTTGCAATACATGATCCGCACGCGGAACATGTATTAAAAATGACAGAATATGCAGTTTCTGATCCTGGCCTTGGGCAGCCGTCCGACAGGCTCCTCAACTGCAGGCTACCCGTCGGCGTCTGGGCCGCCCAGGGAGCCCAGCGCAGCCTTCGCCGCGTCGCGCACCTGACGGTCCCTGTCTGCCAGCTTGAGCCGCACCTTGGCCGCCACACGCTCGTCGCTGCTCCGCGCCAGCTTGGGCAGCACCTCCAGTGCCTCGAGCCTCACGAACACGTCCTGGTCGTCGAGGCTGCTGCAGACAGCGTGGACGGCAACCTCGTTGCCCCGGGCCGCAACCCTGCTCAGTACCTGCAGCGCCGCGACCCTTGTTGAGTAAGCTGCATGTCGGGGGAACTGCCACCGACACACTGTGCAAAGACTCAACGGCGAGCTCGTGTCGTGACGACTTCGGCGTTGGCTATTTCTGAAACCGCGCAGATTTGGGAGCCCCCAACACCAGGTCGTGAGATACCAGGCGGTGACCTGGCATCCCCAAAAAGTCACCGCCGGGTTTTGGGACACGGGGTCACCGCTGGGCTCTGTAATTCCTGAACACACCAGCGTTCGGGACACCCTCGAACAAAAACCACATGAGTCCCCAAACCGGGTGGTGACATCAAATCGCCCGCGACTCACCGCCACGTTTGGGGACTACCAACAGATGGTGCAACCTTCACCGATCGCGGCGTCCCAGCAGAGCGGACCGTTCGATGTCAGCCGAGTCTGGGCGCCGCGCTGGGGCCGCTCCAACGGTGAGACGGCATGAGAGCCTCCCGTAAGTACACTCGGAGAGACGCCAGCCAGGTCCATCGCTTGGGATCCAAGACTGGTGAGCGCGTCCTCCGTGCCACGAAATAGGGGAACGAAAAATAACATAGACGCAAAAACTCGGCGCTCCGCGCGCCAGGGGGGTCCAGCGCCGATCCGAGAAATCCGCGCGGTCCTCCAATGTTTTATGTCTATGTCAATCTTCGTTCCCCTACGAAAGGCTAGGAGGGTTTACCTGCCTACTCTGGATGGGGTATGTTTTCATAAAGGGTGTGATTCGCCTTCCGACTGAGCTTGCCCAATCCCGCCCCCCTCCATCCTCCACTCCCTCCATCCTCCTCCTCCTCCTCCTCCTCTTTCTCCTCCTCCTCCTTGAGTGTTATCCCATGGAACCACGGACTCGACAACGACAACCCTATCGACGGCCATTACCGGCCATCGCCGGGCATCGCCGACGCAACAGCAGCGACGACGGCGCCTCCTCCGCGTCTTCCCCAGCCAGTCTAAGCTCCGCTAAGCTCTGCCAGAGCTCCTCTGGGCTCTCCATAATAAGCTACTCTAAGCCCCATCAACGCTCCTCTAAGCTCATCTATGCTCCGCTACGCTACGCTCCGCTAAGCCCCGCTCGGCTCGCCTAGGCGTGCTAAGGTCCGCTGAGCTCCTCGAAGCTCTCCTCAGCTTCTCTTCCCTAAATTGCGCAAAGCCCCCCCGAGCTCTTGGAGGCCCCTTGTGCCCCCCCGTGGTTAAGCGAGGCCCCTGCGTAGGAAGGGCGAGGGGGAGGAGGGGGGCAGGGGGAGGGAGAGCGAGGGGGAGGGGGAGGAAGGGCAAGGATTGGCCGGCTGGCCAATCTGTTTTTTTGTGCCAGAGAGGCCCGCGTCAAGAGAGACCGCGCGAGTGCATCGCGCGCGCTGGGCCTGGGCGGCAGCGAGGCGAGTCCGCGGGCTCGCCACGAAAAAGAGAAGCGCCCCCCATCGCGACGGCACGCGTGGGAAGTCAAGCTCGCGGCAGTCTGAAGCCGACGGCCCCTCGCGCCTCCGGGAGCTTCCCGAACAAGCGCCTCGTGAGCTCCATCGAGCGCTGCTTCTTCGCTGCCCTGGCCGCCTCGTCATCGGCCGGCGAGGGGGCCGGCGACTGCCCCGCCGGCGCGACCAGGGTCTTCTCCGCCGAGGCCTCCCACGGCTTCAGGAACCTGCTCTCGTAATCCCGCTTCTTTCCTTTCTGGGGCCCCGACTCCATCATGACCGAGTACTTCTTGCCCTCCCAACCGACCATCCTGAGCGCCGTAGCCTGCTGGTCGTTCCATTTCTCCTTTTCCTTGATGGCGATGGTGCGGACTTTATCGCCCGCCTTGAAGGGTGCCGTCGCCTGCTGCGCCGCTGCCGCCGCCGCCGCCTGCGGCGGCGGCGGCGCGGCGTCAGGCGTCGCCGCAAGGTCAGAGCCACCGGCCGCGGTCGCCGCCTGGCCCGGCTGACCCGTGGCGGTCGCGACCCCGGCGCTCGAGCTTGCGACCTGGTCGAGCGTCGCCGTGCCTAGCGGGAGCTTCTTGTGGCTCTCGTAGGCGGCGAGGGCCATGGCCTCGGCGACCTCGGCACTCCCGTCGCCCTCAGACGCGGCTTCCGGAGCGCCCTGCGGCTCTGCGGGAGCGGTCTCCGTCGTCACCTCGCCCGCCTCAGCGGGCCCCTGAGCCGCCTGGCCCGGCTGGCCCAGGGCGGTCGCGCCGTCGGCGAGCTCCTTCTTGACCTCGGCCGCCTTATCGGGGATGGACAGACCCCCCTTTAGTAAAACGTGGTTTAGTGAAAACGACCTGAGGCCTAGACCTGGAGGGCGCAAACCTGGAAAATAACGGCCACGGCGCCCTCTCGAGAACCGAAAACGGACAATTCACCAATCGACGTGTCACTGTTGAGGGTTCTGTCCAGCCCCGACCTTAGCGGGCCCCTTGGCAACCTGAGCGGGCGCCTCGGCCGCATTCTTCGCCAAGCCCAAGATGTAGTCGCGCAGCTCCGGGGTGGCCTTCTTCGCCAACCCGAGGATGACGTCGCGCAGCTCCGCCTGGCAGGACTCGGGGAAACCCTCCGGCATGTCGGCAGCGGTCGACAGCTCCACGCCGGGGCGCTTCAAGCCCAGGCGGGACGCCGCGACGTCCTCGAAGAGCTTGCGACCGAACGTGGCCCACGCGCTCCCGGGCGAGCACGAGTTCTCCGCCGCCTGCAAGGAGACGAGGTCCACGATGACGGCCTTCGCAACGGGGGACTTCACGGACTCCACCAGGTCGTGTTTGATGATGACGTCGGCTGCAGACATGAACTCTCCGGCTGGCGCGTCGCGCCACTTGCTCTTGGCGTCTGCGAACGGCTTCACCTTCATGAACTCGCTGTCGGCATCCCATTCGCCGAGCAGGTCGAACCGGCCCGTCTCTTCGAGTAACCAAAATCCCAAGGCCTTTCCATTCAGCGCCATGAAGGTCTGGGCGAACTTCAGAAGTCGCAAGTGCTCGGGCCGAAGAGACGCTGACAACTCCAACACCTCCTCTACCATGTCTTTCTTGGCGGCGGGGGTCATGCCAGAGTTCTCGTCCGTCAGCATCTTCACGCGGTGGGCTTGCTTGGCGGCGGTGTAGGACTCGACGAAGGGGGAATGCACTAGCGTCGGCATCCGTGAGAGCGCCAGGCCATCAATCTCAAAAGTTGCCAAGTTGAGGTCGTAGCCCTGCTCGCACATCGCAACGATGGCCTTGCCCAGTCGAGGGAGCAAAGACGGGAACTCCGCGCCCAAGTCTTTCAGCTGCGAAGCGACGGGCTCTATCTGAGGCCAGCACTCCGTCAATAACAAGCACTTCACCACGAAGGACGGGAATTCCTTGTTGTACTGGTCCAAGGACTCCACGAACTCTTCCACCGTCTTGCCCTGCTCGCGGGCCCGGAGGGTCTTCAAGTGACTCAGCCACATGCGGAAACGAACCTCCACGGTGCTCGTCAGGTCCTTGTTCTTCGAAGAGACGCGCTGATTCTTGCAATCCTCTTCGATGCCCTGCGCGAGCTGCTCTGCGGCTTGTTCATCCGTCAAGGACTCGCGCTTCTCAAGGACCCGCCTCGCCGCGGGCTTCGGCGCCTGCTGGCCCGCGGGTCCGGCTCCCGGGGGGGGCGCGCCGGGGGCGCCTGCTGGGGCCGACGAAGCCGACGCCATGGCAGCCGGCATCTCGGACGCTGGCGAAACGGCGCCCATGATCGCCGGCGCCGGCGACCCTTTCGCGGGCGCCTTCTGCGTCTTCACCACCCGCACTTGCACGTGCAAGACGCCTGCGCCCAAGGCTGGGCGCGGGCACCCGTCGTCGATGATCCACACCTCCTCGGGGTCGAAGTGGGAGGGCAGATCCGCCACCTCGTCTGGCCGCAGCAGCCACTCCTTCTCGAGCTTCGGCGGGAAGACAGGAAGCTTCTCTTTGGTCTGAATGAAGACCCAACGCATCACGGCCACTTCCTTCTTGATCTCGCCGTACCAACTCTTCATCATGTTCGGGGTGACTTTCCTGTTCTCCGCGGCCGCCAAAGGCTTCAGCGCCAAGTACAAGCGCGCGAGGTCCTCGGTGTTGCCCTCGACCTTGCCTTCATCGCGCCAGGCAACGATGGCATCCTCTGCCTTGTTGCGCTCCCTCGTCCCAGGAGTGCTCCCTGATTGCAGAGCCGCCTGCACCGCCTCGCTCGTCATGGCCGACATGGCCAAGAAGCTGCCCGGCGCACGGGCTACGCACTGAACTTTCGCACTGAAGCGCCTCGCTTGAGCCAAAACCGCAACGGCTGGCTGCTCCTTATTTATTATTACAATTGTTGTTGTTGCTGTTGGTTATTGTTGTTTTCGTTGCTCATGTCGTCGTTGTTATTGGTGTTGTTGCTGTTGTTTCTGTTTTTGCATCGTTGTTGTTGTTGTTGGTGGTGGTGCCGTTGTTGTTGTTGTCGTTGTCGTTATCGTTGTTGTTGTTGTTGTTGTTGTTGTTTCTGTTATTGTTGTCGTTATTGCTGCTGTTCAAGTCTTCGTCGGTTCTGTTGTTATTGTTGTTGCTGCTGCTGTTGTTGTTGCTGTTGCTGTTGCTGTTACTGCTGTTGGTGTCGCTGTTGTTGTTGCCGCTGTTGTTGTTGCTGCTGTTGTTGTTGCTGTCGATGTTGCTGTTGTTGTCGCGAAGCCCCAGGAGCACCCAAAGAGGCCCCAAGAGACCCCCAAGAGGCCCCGAGAGGCCCTCTGAAGCCCCTCCGGGCCCGTAGGGGCCCAGAGGCGCCCTGACCGGCACCTTGCTCTCGCCATTCCGTCACACATCCGGCCGGAGCCGCAACCGCATGGGGGCCCAGGGTGCCGGTCAGGGCGCCCTGGCCCCCTCAAGGCCCTGAGGGGCCTCTTGGAGCCTCTGGGGTGCCTCTTGGGGCCTCTCTGGGGCCTCATGGAATCCACTTTGCGCCTATCGGGTGCCTCTTGGGGGCCTCTGGGGGCCTCTTTGCTGCCTCTTGGGGACCTCTTTGGGCCTCTCGGGCTCCTGTTTGGGTTTCCTGGGGCCCTCTTGGCGCCGTCTTGGGAGCCTCATGGGCCGTCTTGGCGCCCGCTCGGGCCGTCTTGGCGCCCGCTCGGGCCGCCCTCGGGCGGCGGCCGACGACGACGATCCCTGCGAGAGGATTTCTGCCAGCGCCGCTGCGCGACACGAGGGTGTGGCGTACAAGCCGCCCGACACGCTGGCCAGCCGGCGGCGCAGGATAATAGCAAAAGGGCCGTGCATCACCACGTGCCCTTTGGGCCATGGTCCAATCCTCCTGCCGCGCGCCCACGGCGAAGCCTGGGCCCGCGGATGAGAAGGAGGAGGAGGAGGAGGAGGAGGAGGAGGAGGAGCAGTAGGAGGAGGAAGAGGAGGAGGAGCAAGAGGAGGAGGAGGAAGAGGAGGAGGAGGAGGAGGAGAGGAGGAGGAGGAGGAGGAGGAGGAGGAGGAGGAGGAGGAGGGGAGGAGGAGGAGGAGGAGCAGTAGGAGGAGGGAGGAGGAGGAGCAGGAGGAGGAGGAGGAGGAGGAGGAGGAGGAGGAGCAGGAGGAGGAGGAAGAGGGGGAGGAGCAGCAGGAGGAGGAGGTGGAGGAGGAGGAGGAGAAGAGAGGGAAAATCAGGAGTTGCACGCGGTCTAATCCTCCTGCTCGCTCGCCCCGTTTTCGGCGACGTCGTCCGGCGGGGCCGCGCTGCTCCTGAGGTACCTTGGGTCTCGCGTGACCAAGAAGCGGAGGATCTTGATCCCCTCGCAGCACAGGAACTGGACGGCCTCTGGGGCCGACAACAGCTCAGACTGGAGGACGGTGTACCAGTGTCTCCCTTCCTCCGACTGCGCCCTGGCGGTGCGCCGAATCAGCATGTCTTCGAGCTCCCCAATGAATCGCTGGAGATACCTGTTGAAAGTGCCGCACGCGCTCTGGGAAGTTGCATTGATGCCAAACCTCTGTGGTAGATCAGCCCAAACCAATAAGAAGCTCCGGGCGCCGCTCCCTGTGTCCGCGTAAGACGAATCGTCCGGCAGGCTGGAGGTCTGGAAGCCGTTGTAAATGCGCCACATATGCTCGGCGAGGAACGGGCCGTTCCCTTTGAGACCCCTGATGTCCTTCATCACTGCTCTCTTACTGCGCCACTTATTCTGTCCGCCCTTCAGCCTCAAGCGCCTCGGGAGCAAATCCACGCTGTACTTTTTGGGTCCGGGAGGCTGTCCAAGAACTCATGTTTCGTTTGCTGTTTGATCAGTTCACGATACACGGACTGTGGTTGAAATCTACTAGAGAACATATCTGCCGGATCATCCAATTCATCCCAAGCCCGCCCCAAAATCTCCCTCACCGTCGCCCCTTTCAGGCCAGATCTGCTGGCCCACTCAACGAACTTGCGACCGGAGCAACGCGCAAAGATGTATGCCCAGAGGGATCTATTGTACTTGGTCGCGTGCTGCATCGCCTCTGCCATTTTCACAGAACAACGATCAGTGATTTCGTAATTGAGCTGCATGGTGGATGCTATGTCGCCCTTCGTCAAAACGGGCTTTGCCTCGTAGGACTTCCGCGCAGAATCCGTGGGAAAGACAAAGTGGATATCTGGGATCTGGAGAACGGTATCTTTCATCCAAATGGCATCCAGAGGAACCAAACTTTGTTTGTCTATAGCGCGGCGGATAAGCATGATGTCAAGAATCTCTCCCAGAAGCGCATGATGATTGCGCACGGCCCAACACTCGAGAGAAGCGTCCACAGACGCAGGCATGGTCAATCCATCCATAGCAACAGCAGTTGTTTGTTGCGGTGAAAATCTTCAGAGAGAAACTCGGATGGTATGTCTGCTCTTGGGGCCAAAATGGCTACCGCCGTCAGCCGTCGCTGCCCGCCGTCGCCAGCCGTCGCCAACCGTCGAACAGGTATAGCCAGTAATGGGACAGGAATAGCCAGCGATGGCCGCTAATGGCCGGGAATAGCCGGCGATGGCCAGGAATAGCTATTCCCGGCCATCACTGGCTATCTCCGGCCATTACCGGCCATTACCGGCCATCGCCGGCGATTCCCAGCCATGCCGTGAAGGCCGCGACCGGTTTGCTGGACTGCTGGCAACACACGAAGCGTCAGGAATACTGTCCTCCTCGGCCTTGTCCTCCTCCTCCTCCTCCTCCTCCGTTCCTCCTCCTCCTCCTCCTCACTTTCCTCCTGCTCCTCCTCTTCGGCCTCATCCTCCTCCTCTTCGTCGTCGTCCTCCTCCTCCTCCTCCTCCTCCTCCTCTCCTCGAGCCCCTCCTCCTCCTCCTCCTCCTCCTCCTCCTCCTCCTCCTCCTCCTCCGTTCCTCCTCCTCCTCCTCCTCCTCACTTTCCTCCTGCTCCTCCTCTTCGGCCTCATCCCCCTTCGTCGTCGTCCTCCTCCTCCTCCTCCTCCTCTCCTCGAGCCTCCTCCTCCTCCTCCTCCTCCTCCTCCTCCTCCTCCTCCTCCTCCTCCTCCTCCTCCCCCTCCAGCCAGCGATGCAGTGAAGGCCTCGAGGCCCCACCACCGCCCCACGGGGAGGAGCTGGGCCCCATGCAGCCTCTAGCCATAGGTTGCGCCATAGGTTGCGCCCTCGGCAATCGAGAAGAAAACGGCCTCCGATCGGTTGCGCCATAGGTTGCGCCCTGTGCCTCCGAGAAGAAAACGTCCCCTAATTGGTTGCGCCATACGTTGTGCCCTCGGCTGCCGAGAAAAAAACGCCCCCCTGATTGGTTGCGCCATAGGTTGCGCCTGTCGGCCGCCGAGAATAAAACGTCCTCCTATACATTCATACGGATCCCAGAGGTCCGCCTAGGGCAACATGGATATCGTATTGTGTCACATTGTGTCGTACTGCTTCGTATTCTTTCGACTTGTACTCTGTCGTGCTTGTTCGTGACGTTTCGTAATGTTGTACCCTGTTTTGTTCGTATGCTACGCGAAGCCAAGTCTTGTTTTCATATTCCGACGCGCGCAGGCCATCACGGGTGGACGAGCGCCGCAGGAGCCGTGTCTCTAATAAGCTTATCCGCACGATCGTTCCCCGTGGTCATCAACGACCCAGGCGCGCCGCCGCAGCCGGCGGCGATTTCCGCCCGAAGGTCACGCAGTTCTTTTGCGAAAAGGGCCCTCCTACAAGCCCGCCCGTTGCAAAAACCGTTGGTTTCTGCCTTCTGAAGCATCCGCGCTTTCAACACCCAGATGCCCCGCGTAGGCTCAGCAACTGAGGCTCCGACGTCCGAAGGTGTCAAAGCTTTGCTCATATCCTTTTTGCCGAGCATGCCCTCTTTGCACCAAGTTTTCACGACTCGCACCTTCAATGGCGACCCAAAGCCTGGGTTGTTCGCGAACGTAAAATACCCATTGCTGTAAACGACAAAAGTTCCAGCAGCAGCTTTGGCCAACTTGGCGGCCTCTTTTTCTTCCTCAAGGTCGGAGCCCGCCTCGTGGTCGGACTCAGCAGCTGACTCCTCCGCCTCGCCGCCCTCGTCCTCGAGCGCGTCGTCATCCGAGCAGACAGACTCGAGATCGCTGTCAGGCGGGCAAATATCTTCGTGCACCTCGTCGGCTGCATCTGGTTCCGCCACTGCCTCGCCGCGCTTCCGCGGGGGCGGCGGGTCCACTCGCTCGGTCTCGTCAGCGCGAACACGCAGAGTGGCTCGAGTCTCGCCGAAGCCAGACACGCCCCACCCGACCCGAAACGCAACTACCTCGCCAGCAGCGCTGCCCAAAGCAACATCCAGGAATTCCACTATCGGTTTGATGGCCTTGCAAAGCTCGCCGTCCAGCCTGAGATGGAGCTCGCAATCTGCAGGGCCTATCTGCAGCGGCCACGCCCAGACTTCATAGCCAATGCTTTGCACGCAGGCAGCTGCGCGAGAACCAGCGGCGGTTTCGAAGCAATACAGCCCCGATTTCAAATGCGCCCACTGCGGCGCGTGCGCTGGCCTGGCCGAGGGCTGGACGCGCGCCGCCGGGGACAGGCCGTCCGCGGCGGCGACGCGAGCGCCCGCGGACTTTCTGCATCCCGAAGCTGCTTTCTTGATCCACTCCCGCAAACGTTGATCGTTGTCTGGGTTGTGGAGCCACTCGAGCCATCCGGCGCTATTGCACGGCAAAGTCGCGCTCAAGAGTTTGCGAGCAGCTGCGGCCTCCCGTTGGCGGTCTCTCACGGCGCTCTGAAGGGCTTCTGCATGTTCCTCTTGATACGCCTTCAAAGCAGTTTCGTCCCCAACGCTGGTTTGGCTCCGTCTCTCTGCATCGCTGATGTTCTGCTCCCAATGTAGGGCGCCGCGGCCACGCGCGAACAAGTCTGGCCGCTGCTGAATGGCAATTGATCGCGCATTGGTTTTCGCAGCGCGCTTCTCCAGCGCCTGCACTTTCAGCTCGTTGCCAGCGTGCTCGCGCTGCTCCCTCTGGAATTGTCGCAGGATGGTGTCGCCGGACGCAGTGGCCAGCCCCTTCGTCTTCACAGTCCCGCACTGCTTGTCAAGGGCATGCTTGCGCTCTACCTCCAAGCTGCACCCGCCACCGTTCGTGCAGATACCTAAGAGCTCACTCTGAACCTCGTCGCCCATCATGTACGCCGCAGCGTCGGACTCGACGTGGCCGCCCGCCTTCCAAGCATCATCGCGCAACGACTTGAAGTATACATCCAATTCATGATCAGGCGTGCGTAGGAAACGCACAACCTCGTCCGAGTACTCAGTATTGTAGTCTTTCGTCATCTGTAATCCCTTAGTCGGAAAGCGCAAGTACTCGTGGAACCGAATACAGATGCTCATAAAAGTAAGAACCAAGCGGTTGACGGTCGTGTTCACGGGAAGGCGCGGGTCGTCCATCAACTTTGGTGCAATCTCAATGAACAATGCCTGCGTGCGTTTCTGCACTTCCGCACGCCCCAGTCGAACGAGAAGCGGCGCCCTGTTCTTGCTCGCGTCCGCCTTCTGGGCCGTCAGGGACATGGCCAAATGCGTTAAGCGCAAGCATACGCCCACTTCCATCAGAAGGGGCAACGTGTCCACAGACTTGTAGAAGTCGCGGAAAGCAGCGAGACGCTTGGAGTTCTCGGTATGCGTTTTCTTCAGATGCATGCTGAATACACCCTCTGGTAGATTGAGCAACTTCATTCGTAAAAGAGCCCAGCAGCATGCTGAAAAGGTGAAGAACCTCGTCACCACAGGTCGTTCGTCGATGAACAATGCGAGCTTTGAAAGAATCTCGTAGAAGCGACCTCTCACTTCTTTAAGGTCAGTTCCTGCCTCACAAAAGTGCACGGGGGAATCGATCTGCACGTTGTACATCTGGAGCAACTCGGGGGGCAACACGAATTGCCCGTACAAGCCAGCAAGCTGGGCGAGCCTGGTTTCCCCGGCCTGCGCGTCGAAGCCTGGCTCCGCGTGCTGTAGCCTGACCTTCTCGACGAGGTACTGCCTTAGAGACGCCTCGAAGTCCGTCATGTACGACGGCATCAGGTACTTGTACAGTCGACTGCAATTGCAACAGAGGGCATCTTGGTCAACAGGCTTGGGCACCAGTTTGCCCACAATAGTGGTTTGAATCACCAAGTTCACTTTGTGCGAGCTGCATTTCCACAACAACAAATGATATGATACAGGCACGGCGTCTGATGGGAGGGACCTGAAGTAGTTGAGCATGACTTTCGCTGCGTACTCATTCGTATTGATACCGTCCCCGACAAGCAAATGTATGAGGCGCACCCTGGTTGGGCGGCCTGGATGCTCAGTAAGAGCACCGATGCATGCCTTCATGACGCCCGCAATGGCTTCAATCAGCGCCGTGGCAAGCGTGTCCCCATCTTTACATGTCACAGCCTGCAGGTCCCGCAGCCACGTCATCTTTTGATGCTGCAAACTTGACCCCACCGACACGTGCACCAGATTGTTCTGAACGGACGAGTAACGCCCGCGGCTGGACGTCATACTGGAACCTGAAAAATGCTGCGCCATGACCGTAGGGACTTCGCTGTAACTCTTAAACTGCATCATTGCCCCGTCGTGCAAATGTCTCACATACACGGGTGATGTCTGCCGTCCACGGCACATTGGGGCCGCCGCAACACTTGCCTTCACTTCCTCCTTCCGGAGCTCCTGTGGAG